GTAGTCACTTTTCCCTGTGCTTTAAAAAGAAATTCATCCAGCAGGAAGATAGAGACCTAAATACCTACTTTGGAGATAATTACAAAGACTTGACAGAAAATTAGTGAAAACCTTCTTCAAAACAAGCAAGAGTATGTCACCTTCAGTGTTCCTGGGATGCTTGTTCAATATTATATGAAGGAACTTCATGCGTGAGGTACATACTATAAGGTTTCACTGTGTAAAATCCAAAGTGTATTAAATATTCTCCAGTATCTAACTGGTCTCCAGTATGTATCATACAGGGAATGTACTGAAACCTATGCAGGCCTATGATTAGAATCTGTATCCTGTGTAACTCACATTACATTTGGGTTAAGCCGGAATCACTGTCTGTGGTAGACAGGACGGTGGTCCCCCAAAGATGTTCACCTCTTAATCCTCAGAACCAGGGAAAAGAAGCTACCCGACTTGACAGAAGCAGACTTTGCAGGTGTGATTAAGGAGCTGGAGATGGGAAGATTATCCTGGGTCATCCAGGTGGGCCAAATGTAAGCACAAAAGTCTTAGAAGAGGAAGGTGGGAGGGTAAGAGGGAGAGTGGAGATGTGACAGCAGAAGCTGAGGTTGATATAACGTGGGGTCATGAGCAAGGACTGCTGCAGCTTCTAGAAACTGGAAATATATATATAAGATCATGTGTGTATATATGTATATGCATACATACATACATTCAGTATGTATATTTACCATGTAAGATGTGTATATATTATATATATATAAAATATATACATGGATAGTGTGTACATATGTATGTATGTGCATATTTGTGGATGCGGGTGTAAAAGTCCATCTCAGCAGTCTGGAGAGACACTCCCTTGCTGACTTGGAAGAATTTTCCGTGTCATGAGAGGGCCAGGTATCAAGGAACTTTGGACAGCCTCCAGAAGCTGCGAGTGGTGTCCAGCTAATGGCCAGCAAGAAAACAGACCTCAGTCCTACAACTGCAAGGTGATGGATTCTGCCAACAAACAACCCGAGGGGGCTTGGAAATGGATCTTTTCTCATTTGCACCTCTGATGGCGTCGAAGCCGCAGCTGACACCTGGACTGTGGCCAGGTGAGACCCCAGCAGAAGACTTTCCCGGGCCTTTGACCCGCAGAAACTATGAGATAACGACAAAAAGTAGCAAACTGGATCTTGGAAAACAGTTTTTTAGTTAAAAACACTCCCTTTGTTTTAAACTGCATATGTACTCAAGGCCATTTTTAACTGAAATGGTGTGAATTTATTTTGTATTTACTTTGCTGCAGGTCTCACATAAATATACGCAGGCACTGAATGCCATGTAGATTGTGTCAGCAGTGGATTTAATGATGGATGCAGTTTACGAATTATGCCTTTATACATTAGTTCCCTTTTGAGCTTACAAAATGACTGCTATTTATATATTTTTGAAAATGACCTTGGGGGCTGGGTTAGATTTTTTTTAAACCCTACAATTTTTAGAGAGGAACTTTAAGAGGACTTCCACTACCAAAGTAATAAAGACTTACTCTAAAGGAACAGTAATTAAGGCACAGAGATACTGGTGCACAAGGTCAGACAGATGAAGAACAGGGTGTCCAAAAACAGACCCCTTCCATACAGTCTCCTGATTTATGACAAAGCTGACACTGCAGTGCAGGGGGAAAGCTGGCCTTTTTAATAGATGGTGCTGGGTCAATTTAGACAGCCTTGTGTCTAAAATACAGCTAGTTTATTTTTATTTATTTATGAATCTTGACCCATATATCACACTATATCAAAAAAAATTTTTTTTCAAATGTATAGTAGGTATTTGTGAGGATAACAATAAAGCTTTTAGAGGAAAATATAGGAGATTAGCATCTTTGATTATTTATCAGATTTTTAAAAATTGAGATATAACTGACATGTAACATTACATTAATTTCAGGTGTACAACACAATGATTCAGTATGTGTACCTATTGGGAGATAATCATCTCAATAAGTCTAGGTAACATCCATTAGCACACAAAATTACGAATTTTTTTCTCATCATCAGAACTTTTAAGTGCTACTCTCTTAGGCACTCTCAAATATACAGTAGAGTATTATTAACCATTGTCACCATGTTGTACATTACATCCCAGGACTTATATATTTTATAACTAGAAATTTATACCTCTTGACCACCTTCACCCATTTCAGCCACCCCCTACCCGCCCAAGATAGACAACGATTTCTTTTTAAACTAGCCATAAATAATAGAACCATAAGGGAAAAAATAATAAATTGGACAATATTAAAATGAAGAACTTCTGTTTTTCAAAAGACATTGTTAGGAGAGTGAAATGGCAATCACCTGAGAGAGAGAGAAGATATTTAAAATATATATATAGCCAATGTATACCATATCCAGAATTTTTAAGAGCGCTAATCAACTGGTAAGAAAAAGAGAGACAATCTCTTGGAAAAATGGGCAGAAGAATTGAACAGATACTTCACAAAAGGATATCCTAATGCCCAACAGACATATGAAAAGATAAGCAATCTATTAGTCATCAGAGAAATGCAAATTAAACCTCAATGCAACCCCACTTCCCAAACACTCAGCAGAGTGGCTGCAATGAAAAAGACAGACAATATCAAGTATTGGTAAGAGAGTGGAGGAACTCTGGTGCTGCCCATGGGAGTGTAAATTGGTACAAGGAGCTTGAAAAACTGGCATTATAGACTACAGCCGAACACAAACACAGCGGTCAGTTCCACTGCTAGGGATATACTCAACAGAAGTGCTTATGAATATTGACCAAAAGACCAACATAAGAATGTCTCAGCAGGGGGAGGGTATAGCTCAAAGTGGTAGAGCACGTGCTTAGCATGCACTAGGTCCTGGGTTCAATCCCCAGTACCTCCTCTAAAAAGTAAGTAAATAAGTAAATCTAAGTACATCCCTCCCCCCTAAACAAAATAAATAAAGAAAGAAACCTAATTAAAGTAAAAAACAAACCATAACAGTCGGGGAAAAAGAAAAAAAAGAATGCCTCAGCAGTGGTATTTAAAATAACTCCAAGCTCAGTCCATCAAATATCCAGTAGAATGTAAGAATAAACTGTGGTCTATCCATAAGTGCAAAATTACACTTCAGTGAAAAGAAATGAACTGCTAAATGCAACGTGGGGCAATCTACATATTAAGTATAAAACATCATACACAAAAAGTACCTGAGTATGATTCCAAGTATCAGAATTTCATCATTAAGTAAAACTATTTATGTTGTTAGAAGCCAGGACAGCAGTCACCCTTAGGGGAAAGTAGTCTCTGGAAGCGGGAATACAGGAGGGCGTCTGGAGTGCCAGTAATGTTTTACTTACTCTGAACGCGGCTGCTCGGGACTGTTCACTGTGTGATACTGAGTAAGCTGCACACTTAAGATCTGCGCACTTCTCTGGACACAGGTGGCAGTTCAGTTTTTTAAAACGGCTTTAAAAATAACTAGATGTGACTTCCTCTGACAATCGGTCATTCCTGACCCTCCGAGTCGCCTAGGTTAGGTGCGTCAGCTCCGCGGTTTGTAGTCCACACCTCCCGTCTCTTAGCCGCACTTGTCGGGGTGTGTGTGATTTCTAACGTCTCCAGGAGGAGGACGTGGGCGCACTGTCCTGTTCACTGCTGTCACACGTTGCCCAGCCCACGGTAGATGTTCGAGAAATGATTAAGTACAGGATTCCTCGATAGGCCCTTAACCCTAAATAAAACCCTGTGCTCGCTGAAACACTGTCACAAAGGCCATCAGAAGGGCAGAGGGAGAGGCTGCGACCGGGGCAGAGGGAGAGGCTGCGACCGGAGCAGAGGAGGCGAGGAGACTGTGGGAGGAAAAGAATCTACAGTTCAAGACAGAAGCCACCTGGCCTAGCCAGGCTCCTCAAGCTCAAGGAGAGCTCCCTGCACCGGCTTCTCGGCGACAGAGAAGGTGACAGGTCTCTCCGAGGGCCTTTCCACCCTGTTTCCGCCTTGTGGGTGCTACACGGCAGCCAGGTGAAGGGACGCAGAGAGGACGGCGGTGAGCCGCGCAGAAGGGCCGCAGGGAGGGGCAAGTCCGGGACAGGTGACGGGGGGATTCGGGCCGCTAGTGGGATCGGACTCGGGGGTCCACCGGACGCGGGGGTCCAC